GTATCCGCATTAGAAAACCGAGGGCCATGTAATCGAGAACTGGGTAAAATTTCGGCAAATACTGCTAGGCCAGGAGGATTATTTCGATTTTTGCTCGCCATGCGCGCAAAAGTAGTTAGTGGTAAGGAGAGACGGCGAAAATTGCTAACCTATCACTCCTGATAAATCCATCTGATGCTTCCCAAATCTGGACGAAATATGTGATGGATTGCTTCTCAGAGATGATCAAATCCAGTCCTTATGAACACCATAACTACTCACGAGAAGTTCGTCAAAACTGTCAAATAAAAGTTTTCGAAAGTTGACCATCAGGTTTTTTATGGTTGCACTTTTTCCTCCACAAAGTGCAAAACCAGTGTCGATGGCAGTAATTATGACGAGGCGATTCGATAAAAAGATTTTCGATGATCCATAACAGGAACTCTGATGCAAAAGAACAAAATTAACACCATGGCGAAGGTGGGGCATTATGTAAACAGTGTATGAAAGTGCGTATTCACAGTGCGTTCACCAAGTCATAACGCACACAACGCGAAACGGTTTGCTTCTGCAGAAAGGGAACAAAAGAAAACAAGGAAGTATGTACAATTGGTGAAGCGAAGAAAATTTTGAGATCCAAAAGACCAGTGGTAAATCGTGCGCGCAGTGGGAGGAGAGCAGCACTATGAAAGGAAAGTGGAATTAGAAACCCTTCTTTGAGGTTAGTGATGGCAGATAGTCTCGAACAGCTGAGAGCAAGGCGTAAAGACTACGCCGTTTCTTCTTTAAGTAGGCCGAGACCATGTCCTGACCGGAAGACAACAACGGCTCTTGCTCACGGTTTTGATAGTTGAATGGGACGGTTTGTGGTAGCACCCAGTCGTTTGCCGACAATGAGATTAGATACATGAATGGAACTGCCCACACGAGAAAAGTAAAGTAGGCGAGTGTCTCGGTGAACGTGTGGAAAGACGAATTGAACATTCGAAGGGCGGCAAAGTGGTGCAAAGCACAGGCAACTAGACTACCTATGAATGGCACAGAACCAAAGTGAAAGGCGGGAAAGTGTTTCAGCAATGACCAATAGAAAGCATGAGCAAACAGTCCCACAACAGTCGTCACCAGAGTTACTTGGTCAGTGAAAAACACAACCAGTTGCAGAAAGCATTCAGAAACAATCAAGTAGCGGATGACTTTACCCGTGGTCACCGTGTACTCCTCGACTAATTCCGTGACATACAAAAGGCCAGCTGCCAAACAGAACAGACCCGCGAAACCATACACCATGACAGTGACGTAGGACAGAAGCCAGAGCATTGCAAACTGAAAACAAAAAAGGCAGGTTTCCGTATGAACTATAAGCGGCTTTCCTAGTCAACAACTTCGAGCAATCATGGACAGCAACAAATGGGATGCAATACACCTTTGACTCAAAAGTTGCCGACAGACCGCTGATGATAGGAGGACGGGAAATTTCAACATAAACAAATCTACTCACCACTTAAAGGATACGGCAGGTTTGGTTACTTATAGGGTATATGGGCCAGTTGAGTTGGCATTGAAGTGCAGGAGTACTTTAACGGGCTTAATTTCACCCAAGGGTAGGATGCTGCAAAGGTGTGCGAATCGACTAAACGGAGAATGCCATTACAGTAGTATCGCAGCATGCTCCTCTCCAACCAAATCGATATCACCAGGATCTCGTACGAGTTGGCTGGAAATGTATACCTTTTAACAGAGGTCTCAATACATCCGTGTTATTTAGGAGTCAGTCGTTGATAAGTACTGTACGTTCATAAACCGAGCAACGATACTGGGAACCATGTTTTCCAAACTGTGATCTCTGCACAGTCGAGACATTTGCAATCCAATGACTTAACACCTACATCGTGTGTGCATTATCAAACAGACACCCGTTTATTCACACACCCAAAGAGCGATAACCTGTCTTTATTGGGTGACATCGCCCATTTTGACATCAGCCACCTGTCAAAACAACTTTGCGGAATTCGAGTTGTCCACACTGTATTTGCTCACAATGAAGGTACTTCAAAAGGGAGTGTAACTTGGGGCAAGCAAAGAAAATTCACATATTCTCTTAACCCATTGTTGAAGGATGTAACCGTCCAAGCCTTGGCTGTGCCACGAACAGCTGAGTGCAATAATCCGGTAACTTGGAATAAAAACCGTTGCAATAGCAAAAAAGTGGAGGTATTTAGGTGGAAAAATAAGACGAATCAGCTACAAATTTAGCAGAACAAAGGTCTGAACTACTGCGACAACGAGAGATCTCACCGGCACCATGTGAAAATTCGGCTTGAAGAGGAGAATGGCTATGAGTGTCATTCTGGTAATGAGCAAATTGATCCTTTTTTGTCTCAGTCGATTAATCACTGGCTTAAATTAAAAAGGATTTAAAATAGTTGTCGCACCTGAAAGATGTAATCTTTTGAAACTTGGACACAGCCTCTGCTACTGACGAACTTATCAACCAACACATCTTTTCTTTGAGTACGACGTCACAGACCAGTGAACTCTTATAGTATAGACTCAATGGAACAACTTCGCCTACTTCGAGAACAATTTCCCAGGAAATCCCTAAGATCACATCTGTCGCTAGTAGTTGTTGCCAACCCTGCCCTTCTATCGACGACTCGTGATTCTCCATTGTTAATGTTGCTCTGACTGACCTAGTCCCTTTCAGAAGCACCCTTTCCGACAGAAACAAAACTTATTCACATTCGACGCGAGGTAGATTATCGAAGTTACACACTGCGCATAGTACGAAATGGCGCTATGAGGCGGAGGCATTGAGATCACGAGACCCATCGAATCACATAGACAATTGGAATCGCGCGATGCCACCAGAAGAGAGAGTTCGATGAAGTTGACAAAGTGAGTTGGTGAGAATGGCTGTCATAAGCACCAAGTAAGTGAACAGGAATTACTTTGGAATACTCAGTAGCAAGCAATGCATTTATCCTAAACTTCCACAGGGGACTTGCACTTAAGATCCGTATTGCACGCATCACTAGGAGACCCAGCCAAATGAATTGCAGACGTCCTTTCCGGTGAATAAATTATTCGGTGGAGACTTCATTTGCATGAATACGCAGCAGTGAACCAAAAATGTTGCAACTGAATTAGAAAAATCTACTGATGGTTGTGAACTTAATGTTCTTGCATAAACAGGCCGAAAACTGTATTCCTTCTCGTATGAACATAGACGCGCGAGCTAGAGGACTCCGTATTTAGATTTCTGCTCTCACACTAATTCACTACAACAGTCAGCACTCCATAGGGCCCCTATTGTTCTGGGATACATGATTCTATTATACCAAAACGTGTTTAATGAATCTTTTCACAGATGATAAAACTCATTTTTCATTGGTACACTAAATCAATTCAGTTGCCTTCGCAATTGGTGACCATGTGCTTCCTGTCACCTTGAAGTGTCATATTTTCCATAATAATTCCCACCCCACTTAAGGATTTTCACTTGCTTGAACGAGGCCTGAAGCTCAGTTTAGGGACGAATCGTGCCACCACATTCAGGCCTGTATATTGCCTGTAAACATGTCTTCTGTCCCTGGTAAATTTTGTTCACATTCACCTAACAGCATATCACAATCTCCAAACTGGGTTCTCGTTTGAGGACATTTGCAGTCAAGCTATGAATGCTTCTAAAAATAAAAACGTCCGTACATCCCTGCATAAAAATTCAGCTATTCTGTGCCTATACCGATAAGTCGGTAAACGAGACTGCCAAGACCTCATTCAGGGCGGCGACCCGCACATATTTGTTCCGTGCATAAGTTTCAGCTCTACAACGGTTCCCAGCAATAATCATTTGGTGATGAGGATAGGTCAAAATTTTGTCCAAAAAGGACTCACTGAGCATTGTTAGTTCGTCCGTGTCTACCTGTCTGACCGTCTATTCACCCACCGACCTATCTATCAGTGTATCCATCCATTCATATGTGGATGACGATTAGAAAACAGCACTCTTTTCACAGAACAGTCGCTCGGCAAACTGATACACGACTACGACACTAATATCGATGGTTCCGGCACTCTTCAACTGAAGTCTTTGCTGCACAACCGAACATCTATTTTCCAACTGTCTTACTCCGAATTTATTAACGCCGGCCTATATATGCCATAATGGTTGTGAAAGGAAGAAATATGCACACCTCCCGTTGGTTGAATAGTTCAGGACGGACAAATCCATAAGAGTGAGTTGCATTTTTACAGCTGGCCTTCTAACAATAAGGTTCGCTTTCACTTGTGATTTCACACCCGTCCAATAAAAAGTACCGGACAGGTGTTCGACACACTAGTTAGCTTGGACTTGGTATGTAAGCGACTATGCAATGGCACCAGAAAAGTTGCTTGAGCGTGTTCCGATGTACCCCTATAGGAACTGAGCGGAAGAGAAAATATATCGTGAATCACTAAAGAAGTCGAGATAGACGTATAAAACGTCACCAAAATAAATAACAGCCTAAATTTCTGCCTAGATTGTAATACGTTCACGGACAGCGACTTACCATTGTTCTGAGTAAACGTTGAGACGTAATAAATGGCGCGTACGTTCACAACGGGTTAAGACCCGTTTACACAAAAGCTAAAGGGAAAAAGCTACAGTTGTAGATGCTGCCAAGAACCAACGGGTTGTGACCCCAAGAGTTTAACAAAAACCCACGTTCGAAATCAAATACGTTTCTCTTGGGAGAGCATTACGGTCTAGTTATTCAGTTTTGTGCCGTGGACATTTGGTTCCCGTCATTGACTAACTGTGAAGCCGGAAACTAGAGGAGAGAAACTTTTGTGCTAGAAGCGATGACCCAATCAACTAATTCCTGTTGGATTGTTCCAGTTGCACAAGATCCCTAGGTAACAAACTTCCAGTGAGTAGGCGTCCCAAGTCTCCAGACGATGACTACAAGGAAAACCATGAAAACCGGTCACCATCTTTGTCGCCTTACTTCGGACATTTATTCAAAGCTTCCCATTTCCAGAAAGACCTGAAGCAACGACTTGGCTGGTCTGATGTGTTCCATATGATAGCCAGAAGTCTCACTGCCGTCAGATGTGGCCTGTTGATCGGATTCAGGGGTGTGCCCCTAAAATTCGTCAATGCGGTGTTCACATGCCTATGGATTCGTAAGCGTGTTTGGAGAAATCTCCGAAAGCTTTTCTACAAGCAGTGGCGTGAAACGAGCATACGTACTCTCTTCATTTTTGTTTACTTTCGTTAGTATTGAAGTGCTGAGGCGAGCACCGTAAGTTCTCCAAAACCCCGGTGTCCACGTCTCTCTAAGCGAGAAGTTGGTCGACCTGGGATATGCAGACATTTTTCTCGCTTTTGAAAAGGACTCAGAGAGGTAAGCTTCCCTAGAAAAGCTAACCAGCCTCCCCACATGTGCTCCGCGCGCACAAAAATGTAGTCACACTTCAGGACGTACAGTCTTTGAACATGCTTTAACGAATTCAAGGAAGTAATGATTATAAAATAATAATCGTTTAGCTGTTTTACCCTTTGCAGGCATAGATGCCATGTCAACTGGAGAAAAGCACGACGGCTGAGATAATGTTAGGCAACCCAAGCCTAGACAGGAGTAGTCGAGATGCCGCGGTTGGACTTGAACCACGGACTTTATGATCGGTAGGTTCGCACCTCAACCACTGAACTGTCTCAACCATACCTAGCATCCACATGGTTATTTCAAACATGTAAGAAGGAGAAGCTGGTCCGTGTGGAATGTTATCCCGGAGATTTGTATCTGTATTCCGGACTTTCCGATTGATAAGATTGATGATGTACCACATGGTTGTTGTCCAGGTTACTACCTGGGCTTCTGTAAATACGGCGTGCAATGAATCTGCGGACTCGTAGATCTATGACTGTCCAGATTAAGTCCTGAATACTAATTATCGAACACTGACTTGAAAGCTGCACATCGAATGAATCATGTGGGTGACGAGCAATATTTTCTTCCTTTCGTGGAGCCTCCGGGTTTGTGTAGTTCCAAGCACAGTAGCCTCAGTTCTTTGTTGGATAAAGCCATGTTTTAGTCGGAGATATTCTATCAGAGGTCTATTAGTTATTGGAATTTAGTCCCTGCACATATCAATTCTATGTATATGGACGTAGATCGGCAGATCTGACATGTCCGCTGGATTATAGTATAATGCCCTCCATCATGTGATTCCGTGTTTTTAAGCTATTCGAGGAAAATTCTTGAACCTCGAGTAAAATTACACTATTTTTCGACTTTGGATTAGGCCCAGAGGCACAGAATGTTATAAAAACAGTCCATGATACCCTCACCGGATACCTTACCGTTCCAACGTACTTCGATCATTCTACTTAGGCACCAATGGTCAAAACCTTCAAGTCTTCGAACACAGACAGTTCGGAGAAAACGAGTAATAATACGGTGCCGCATATTTGGAGATTTGGGAACCATGCAGGCACCATCGGCGAAATTTATACGGGGTCTTTCGCATATCTCGCCCGTCCTAAGCCCAGTGCGCAACGACAGGCGAAGCCAAATAGATATAACGGAATGTGCTCCCCCAGCGCCTAGTGATCGCATACTGGATATCAACGGCCATTAGAGAGAGGCTTCTACGTGTGGCACAGCCACGCCAAACCCTTCTATGCATTGGGTCTTTGATAGGACCACGGCTTTGCCGAAGTTCTGGTGTCATTCATTTTTGTTGAAAACACAGCTCTACTCGACGCATAACTTGAGGCCAAGTAAGAGTGAGCATCAGCGCAGACGGTAGAATGGTGGATCCGAAATGCCGAAAAAATGAGAGAAGAAAAAACTCTGTTCAAAAGTTGTCCCATTTGGTTCATTCAACAGGTCCTCAAAAACCGCTTGTCAGTGAAACCACCGACTACCAACGATATATGGCAAAAACGTCTCGACAGTTGGTCAGAATACTTCAACTGGCTGGTCACACCCTAAAAGTTGTGAAGGTTAGAGAACCAGTTACCTGTTCCACTTACCTATTCTCCAAACCCTATAGATGCCCCGGTAATGGTCATTTCGTGGCTTGGAGGTGGAGCATGGAGGCGCTAAATAATCAACTCACTCGTATTGGTATCCGACGTCTCTCCAGATTGGGACCCCGCAACGAACAACTGACAGCTGTGACTGTCAGGCAGCCAATAGCTATCTTGTATCAAGGCTGCAGTTTTCACTGAGTAGCCCTCTCACCCGCTGCAGTTTTCACTGAGTAGCTCTCTCACCCCCTAACACACCAGACAAATAGAGCAAATTGACTTCAACTTTCGTCTTCGACGCGTGACTGTCACTCTTCATTCCCCCTTTCCTCGATGAACGGAACTGCAAAGCCTAGAACCACTGTACTTCGGTACACAATTGATAGTTGGAAACTAAGCAATCTGGCTGTAACCATCTCTCGTGTTTGTGAAGTGACGACAGGCGCAGTTACGTTTCCCGATATATGTTTTGAGCTGAGCATTGAACTAAGGTGGTCCTTCGGAGTGCGACATAGGGACATGAAAGCATGAACAGTGAGAGCACTAGGTGGTGGCCTCCTGCACACACATATATAGGTCATGTGGCGTTCGGTCATGTACACATCAGCTCCGGCTATGCAGCTGTTCATAAGTCAGTCGATAAAAGAAGCACTAAAATCTCCTAGAATGGATAAGTGTCCCCAATTGGCGAAATATTCCGGTCGTTGTGGTGAAGGAACTTAATATCCCTGTATTCTCATATCCGCAGTGGGACAATGTCGCTCTGCGCCAAGCGCTGTCACACACTTCGTCAGCGTCGGATGTGCATATGAGCTGGCGCGTTTCTCTATTTATGGTTGTCCAATCAAGTTGCAACGCCCTTCAGGTTTACTTTAGAGTCAGTCAAGTCTCTTTTAATCCCATCAAATATATCGAACTTGGGAATGTTACATGCTCCAGCTTGTAACGTTTGCACACGGTGTCCCGGATGTTCCCAAACACAACCGTACTCTTATCACAGGTCGTCGACACAGCATCCTTGAGTCTTTCAGATTTCTCGGAGGTTGTCCGCTAAGTCAACGGTGTCAGTCATAGCTGTGAACAGTTCTCTAAGAACGAACGAGTTTAGCCCCATTCTCTGGAGAAATGTCCCAAATAATCCTAATATCCTAGCCTCATTTTGCGTTTGAACATGCCTAGCGCCTCTTCTGAGGAAGGAAACACGACTCTCAGGAACCTGGGTTACGTTGGGGTAATCTCGTCGGTGTCCAGGATGATAAGCGGCGTTGACGCATCAGGTCGCGTGTTCCTACCCCGAGTAGCAACATGCCGCTGAAACTACGTCAAAGTCCATTTACGTCGTAGTCTAATCTCACTAGTCTACTAGACGAGGATTCCCGCGTAATCAAAATTATTACGTACCTTTCCCGTGCTATCCAGTTAGGTGTCCATAAATGAGATTGTATGGGCCAGCTAGAAGCTAAAGCAGTGTTGGCTTCAGAATCTGCCGCAGTAGAGTTGGAAGTTGGAACAACAGTTGACACCAGGGATAAGTGGATTGCCGTATTTGCGTCCAGTGGTTACGTAATGGGCACCATCAGAAAATACATGAATGACTCATTCAGACAAGATTCCTCACCCCCGGCTGGGGTGCTGGCGAAACAAGTGTACTCCAGTGGCGAGTTGAATTACACTAACTAAACAGTTGAAAACCACCAGACAGGCTAGTTCGGATTTTCGGCTCCAAAACCGTGCTCAGATTTGCAGTGGTTTCAGCTGCTGCAGCGTCGTTCACCAAGAATAACGATAACAATGGAATGAGAACCATGCGCTGCAGGAGATGGTCAAATCTGTGCATCGACGAATAAACCTGTTTGTCCAGTACGGCAGGACGTGAGAGCTACAAAGTGAAGGTGATGACTTTGATCGAAGGCAGCTATTGAAAGAAAGAAAGAAAGCGTTCAGCTGTAGCACCCTTTCGGTGCCTAGCTGCCATGCCACCCGAAGAAGGCAGCTATTGGCTACGTGACGAAGCCATGTCAATGTCACCAATTATTGATTTGTTGCATTCGGCGGTCACCATACAGAGAGACGCAACTGAGTTGACTGGCAAGCAGTCTTCGAGCGGAGGAAAATTACGGCCTAACCGGTATACGTCCCCTCCAAACCCACGCAATATTTCGCAGGCACCGATGGTCAAACGCGAAGCCCCCTAAGATCTTTCGAACGCAGCGACCACATCGTCCAGCTTTCAGTACTTAGCTGCCACGCCACCCGAAGGGGGCAGGAGGGCTGGGATACTGCCAAGTTTCTCAAGCCTGGAGAGGGGAAGTGGAGGTGAGGATCGGGTTCGAACCACGAACTTTCCGGCCAGTAAATTCGCGCTCTAACCACTTGGGCCATCTCGCCATATCTCTGGTCCATGAAGTGGTATAAATCGGATTGTGGTATTACACACTACCCTTGACAGCCAAGCTGAAATCACATCAGCGCCACAAACACCGGAAGATGGAAAACGCTGCCATGGCCTTCCCAATTCGGGAAGTTGGTTCATCCTTCCGCCGGGATCAACGTTGATAAACGAACCAATCTAACAAATCGATCAATTCACCTACAAGCGTGAAGTTTGGGTCTGATCTCACCCAATCTTGCAGCAGTACTTCAAAGTTGAAGAGCACACTGAACTATGCAGCAGAACTATTTAGGTCATTTCAAATAGTTTGAATTTTTGAACGGTTTAATCCAGAAATACTGCCAGGTTGCCCAAGCCTAGACAGGGGAAGTCGAGAGGCAGAGGTCGGGTTCGAACCACGGACCTTCCGGTCAGTAAATTCGCGCTCTAACTACTGAACCATCTCGGAGTAAAACCGTCGGAAAGTGGTACAGTCCCAGTAATAGTCGAAGGGGGCGAGATGGGCAAAGTGGTTAGAGTGTGAATTTACTGACCGGAATGTCCGTGGTTCGAACCCGACCTCTGCCTCTCGACTTCCCCTGTCTAGGCTTGGGCAACCTGGCAGTGTCTCAGCCCTCGTGCCTCCTTCGTGTGGCATGGCAGCTAGGCACCGAAAGGGTGCTACAGGTGAGTGATTATTATGAGTAATAGTCGAATATGTGATCGACGCAACCCAGGCCACGGCAAAACCCCCTTTGATTCTTGCGAATCTGACTCCCCCAATGGTGTACCAACTGCGTAGAATAATACGAGAGAGAACCACTAGAAAGATGCCCCGGTGGACTTCGCACAACGCCCTTGCACTTTCTTTGAATACAGGGACCACCATCGGAGCACTCTATGCTGCCAGTATTCTTCCATTCCAGAATATTTGGAGTGAGGCCGTTGGGATAGCCACGTGTGACGCACCAGCTTCTTTGAAGAGTGCATGATATAAACTACCTATACCAGATGCTCTGTTGCTCTAAAGTAATGAGACTGCCTGCTAGACTTTCGTTGTCGTTGACGTTCCACTAGGGTTCATTTGGTCCCTCAACAGGTCAAGCTGATGGAGGCCAGCTGAAATATTCTTCAATGTTCGGTCCATCGTTAAGCATGATGGTACATGAAGTACTACCCTCACCAAGTGATCGACGCAACCCAGGCCACGGCAAAACCCCCTTTGATTCTTGCGAATCTGACTCCCCCAATGGTGTACCAACTGCGTAGAATAATACGAGAGAAAACCTTGGAAGCGATGGCCACTAGAAAGATGCCCCGGTGGACTTCGCACAACGCCCTTGCACTTTCTTTGAATACAGGGACCACCATCGGAGCACTCTATGCTGCCAGTATTCTTCCATTCCAGAATATTTGGAGTGAGGCCGTTGGGATAGCCACGTGTGACGCACCAGCTTCTTTGAAGAGCGCATGATATAAACTACCTATACCAGGTACTCTGTTGCTCTAAAGTAATGAGACTGCCTGCTAGACTTTCGTTGTCGTTGACGTTCCACTAGGGTTCATTTGGTCCCTCAACAGGTCAAGCTGATGGGGGCCAGCTGAAATATTCTTCAATGTTCAGTCCATCGTTAAGCATGATGGTACATGAAGTACTACCTTTTTCGGAAAGATGGGTGGGGCCACCACCCAACACCAGCCCTCACCAAGACCCGCCCTCCCCAGACCATTTGATCCGAGTAGCTTGTACAAGGTTCACGTATTTTGGGTTAGCCTTCGGCAATTCTAGGGCTCTTGTGACTTACCAGTGATCTCTGTCAATCCCCGGGCTATTTACTACTCAACGTTTAAGGGAGTTGAGTGCGTCATCGTAGTTGCTTTTTGTTGGTATAGTTTCTCTGGCTTAGTACAAAGTTGATTATAGTGACGAGATTCAATGTTCATTGGAGAGTGCGATCGACTTCGGGCAGACAGTATCTAGGGCTGTGAGCATGGCTTTCTTCGCCTTTCTCCAATCGTCATCCAAATCAGCTTTGTTCCCGTCGAGTTCTGGGAGCTCTTCGGCCAACTAAACCCAATACTAGTAAGCTACAAATAAGCTTTATAAAAGGTGAGTTGAAATATTTTGCAATAACCGACATTTGTTAGAGGTGAAGAAAAAACATAGTGCTCGCACAATGCCGTCATTGCAGTCAAGTGGCATACTCTAAACCGCCATGAGGAGACTGGATCTTACTATGGTGTGACGGTTTCTAACCGTCCCGGACTTACTGACTTATACCGGGGGTGTCCGTTCGACACTCGGTCCCCCATACGAAGTTTATGAATGGTTTGGGATCTGATCAACACAGTCGCCTGGTCCCTCAGGTTGGAGGTTAGAACAGACGTAGCGACTGGTTCTGTAAGAACGTTAATGCGCTTGCACTTCCCGTCAAACACCGCTGCCTTGTGATCAGGCTTTTGAGCCAAAGACCTCAGCTGAGGACCCTAATCATGCTTCTAGTTAGGTGTGAGCGCCCTAGCAGTATACCGGATCACGTATATCCATGAATCGCTGACTCACAAATAAACTAATGTCATTTCGGCCGTCACAATGTGCCAGCAGCTGGGTCGCCTTATTTGCTGTATAGAGCAGTGCGGCTGGGCGGAAACAGGCTACTGCTGACGAACATCTTTCTTTTACATACTTTCCATTCCACTTCTCCACTCTACTAATAACTCACCCGTTGTACAACCGTCAGTTACTACAAATGGCTCCATTCGGCCATCGGTTTTGAAACCAACGTCTGCGTGTAATCCGGCGCTGACATCAGGCAGCGCGAAATCGATCCTCATGCCTAAACGACCAGTCTACCTGGTTTCTTTTAATACCTGCACTCTGAAGCAAGCAGGACAACAAGCCGCTTTTACTCTCACACTGTACTCCCTTGGAATCGATGCGTGCTGTGTATTAGAAACAAGGATTCAAAATGCAAACAGTGGTTGAGCTAACCGCCCCATCACTCTCCAATGGCTTCCGGCTACGCACTTCTGGTGATCCAGAGGCTGCTATGGCAGAATGTGGAGGGGTTGGCGTCGTCTTGAGTCACCGGGCGGAAAGATCGTTGACTGACTGGATACCCGTTGATAATCACCTGGTGGTTCGTCTGGCAACGTCTGCGAAGCAGTCTCACAAGTGGAAAGTTGATCGATGTCTGTTTGTTATGCCTGCTTACGCCCCAACTGACTATCGTTGTACAACAGTTACTACAAATGGCTCCATTCGGCCTTCATCGGTTTTGAAACCAACGTCTGCGTGTAATCCGGCGCTGACATCAGGCAGCGCGAAATCGATCCTCATGCCTAAACGACCAGTCTATCTGGTTTCTTTTAATACCTGCACTCTGAAGCAAGCAGGAAAACAAGCCGCTTTTACTCTCACACTGTACTCCCTTGGCATCGATGCGTGCTGTGTATCATAAACAAGGATTCAAAATGCAAACAGTGGTTGAGCTAACCGCCCCATCACTCTCCAATCGCTTCCGGCTACGCACTTCTGGTGATCCAGAGGCTGCTATGGCAGAATGTGGAGGGGTTGGCGTCGTCCTGAGTCACCGGGCGGAAGGATCGTTGACTGACTGGATACCCGTTGATAATCACCTGGTTGTTCGAAGCTAGAGGCTCAGGTATCGTTGTAGTTCTCGGAAATCCTAATGCATAAATGAGCAGGTTTAACATACTTGGGAAACAATTAAGCGGTCATGTGTTGGATTCCATACGCATGGACAATGGTGAATGACTGCTTCAGTTGTGTGCAGAACACAGTTCTTATGCAGTACTAAATCCCGAAATGACCGAAGTCCATCAGCTTTTTTAGCAGATTCAAACTATGGATTCGATTGAAGCCCATGAGAAAAAGTTTGGGCATGACATAAGGTAGCGGATTACCTAAACTACCTAGACGTAGAACGTTACGGAGCAATCAAAGTCACCAGTCAATTTCAGCCTTTCCCCAGTAGCATTGCAGGTTCAGTGGTCAGTGGCTTCAAATTCGACTTGCCAATTCGTTTCCACGGTCGTCCACTGAACGGCATGATGTCGGAGCACGCACCAAACTGCAATGAACCGAGGTGCTGTTCCCACTCACCATTACCAGCAAGCAGAGTCAACTTTGAATGCCATCGTCCCAATTTGGATCGCGATTTGTGAGCTGTACGGTGGTGGGAAGGTGGTTGTGACGACTGAGACTGACAAAATCTCCTTCGTGGTCACGAGGACCGCACATGGAACACTTATGACACCTCACCCGGCAATAATGACCGAAATGCTACTCATTGCAAGGCCATAAACTCGTGGATCTGCTCTTTTTTCGATCGGGCTTTTTCCCACACTTGGGGTGTTGGAATTGATTGCATAGACAGAGCTGTTGGAGGTGGTAGGTGACTGAACCATCGTAGCCGTGTCGTACTTCAGGTCAATCAGGCGTTGACATACGGCAGTGAGGCTCTGCAACATTATATCAATATCTCGTTCAATTCTGTGAGACAACCGACCTCTGACTTCTGCATCCTGGGGTGATTGGAGTGCGGACACACAAACTATATTCTTGAACTGTCATCGGTCTAGGTGTGAAAAAGCTAGCAAACGCTGGTAGGCCTTATCGTATTCTTGGTCAGCATGGGACAGATGTGGTGGACGCTGAGCAGCGATATTTGATCACCAAATATCTGCCACATTGAGTAGACCTCAACTTGAGTTAGCGGGGTAGCTTGTATACCATGCTCCTGCGTGCCGAGTTTTCACAGCTACAGTAGACTTTCCGTCAGCTCTGCACATATCTCCGCACCACTTGAACTAGGAGTCAAGTGTGCCCTCTTTGAGGCCGCGGGTACATCGCATGAAAAAACTGAAGTCCTACTGACCGGCTGATTTCTGGGCATTCAGTCTCTGAGTCAGTGATTAAATGATCTGCAGTTGCGCCTTTTCAAATCAGCTCCGCTAAAATAATTAGCGGAGCTGATTAAATCAACTGGACATATTGGGACCATTTCTCCGAATCTGATAACGGTAGAGCCTCGCAGCTCAGTTATCGGTCTGGTCCTCCCAACCTGGTGTTCTCAGCAAAAGTACCTTCCACGGAAAGCAAGATGCACTGACTGCCCAAAATCGGGCCAAAAACATGCTCGGAGTGTACTATTTAAAGTATATGCGGAGACAACATTAGGACGTTCAGACGCACGCTGGACACAAAACTGTCAAAAGGCATTCATTGGCTACCGAATGGTGATTTGCTGTTTGGTCAACATTTTTGGCCAATTATTACTCGACTTAGCACGACCTGCCGGTGGCCCTAACTCCTGAATAACCACGTTCCAGTTGAAATTACTGACCGTAGCAGTGCTCGATTGCAGGCGTTTTGGCGGCCTTATTTAGGGCTCTACCTAATGGGTTTTACACATCAGTATGCTTCAGAACAGACCGAGTTCGCGGTCACAAACGTCCTCTGCGACAGGAATAGCCTCCCGCCATTTAATAGCTTGAGGATGAACTGCTGACCTGGTATATGCGCTTTTACACTTTTTCGTCACATCTACCAGCCGGAATATTTTACTTTAACGGATCAAGTCATATAGTGGAGGTGACTGTGTGGAAATCCTTGAAAAAACCGGCTGGTTTATCCCTCTCACCCGACCATCTACCATATATAGTGCTTTGAATTCGGGGCTGGAAGGTCCTCAGGTCTGCCATTTTCGGTAACCATTGCCCTCTCCCTGACCCACCGGACTTCAAGCGGGTTGCGCTCTGCCTTCGTTGAACAGCTGGCTTCGCGAATGCACCTCGAGATGGCCTCTCCGTGCGAAGAATTTTCTTGTTCCAAACAGCTGTGCACAACGATATCACTTCTAAACACCACAGAATTCTTCGATCCTTTCAGTTACAGAGACACCCGAAACCTGCAACTTAATGTCGTCTCGACAAGCAAATAGTTTTCTCATGAATCGATAGTGATTCTTTCCAGCCCTAAATTTTGTTTTCCTCACAGCCACTAGCCAGCATCCTGAGTGGAAGAAAAACAGTGAAGCATATCTGGATTGTTTGAGCGAATCTTGAACAATGATGGGCTAAGGGATGGCTACTATCGTACTCGGTTCTGACTCCCCAAACTCCCGGAAATTCATGCAAAAATGTTTTTCTGCTCAATTGCTGTCCTGAACCGGTGAATAATTGTTCACACTTTTGGTTTCTTCAGCAGTTCCAACTTCAAGCACATGTCGAAGCAAAGAACTTCGTTTCATAGATGGAGCGGTATTTGACAGTTCTGTACGGTAAAATGGTTCCCTAGGCAGTGTACTTCGTGCCCGGTCCAGGCCCTTCTCGTTCGCAGAGTTTTGCGGACCCTTCGACCACAGCCCGCACCAATGGAGAAAAGCAAGACAAATACCTACTTCACTTATGGATGGAGAAACATTCGAGCGTGACCTCTCGGTGACCCTAGGCAGTTCGTGCCCGGTCCGGGCCCTTCTCGTTCGCAGAGTTTTGCGGACCCTTCGACCACGGCCCGAACCAATGGAGAAAAGCAAAGCAAATACCTACTTCACTTATGGATGGAGAAACATTCGAGCGTGACCTCTCGGTGATTCGTCACCCCTTTCTGTCTACAACGGATACCTTGTTCCTGATATCTGGCCCCCAAAATCGCGCGCTTTAATTCGGAGCCGGCCAGAAACTCATGATGCGCTGATCTGTTGCCTACCCATAGTGAATGCAACGAAAATGGCCGACTTTTAGTCGGTATCCACAATGTACCCTCAATTTTGTTTGGCATATATTACAAGCACCTTCCTTACATTTCCGCCCCATTCACACCCCTCTTGTCCACTGAAAACGAACCGCAATTTACCGCCTGCACTAGTTGCGGCCCATGTGGTTTCAGAGAAATTCGTTCCCCTATTACCGGTTAAAACATCGGATCCTTCTAGTTTTCCCGAGCGCCTCCGTCCTAAAGGTGTTCA